CTCAACAACTTTTTAATTTTTACACAAGGAGCCAAAGTTCTGTTTCAGGAAATCACATCCCCAGCAATTGGCAGTTGTAGGATTAAGTTGTAAATAAGTTCATTCATTGCTAGTTGGCAGTGTTGTGCATATATTGCCAGCCTGAAAGTATCAAATTGAAATTGCGTTTTAAAAGTAGCTTCTGCATAAGTGGTTTTGAAGTTGCAGAGCGAAATATTTTCATAAGCGCTTTAGAATTTGTGGAGCTAGTTTTGGGATTAGCGCTGCCCACCACTGGCCTCCACTCATCTGAATTTGCCAGCCTTATCTTACACAGCACACACAAATCAAATAGGCTGTCTCCAATGGTCTCTTGGAACAGCCAACTTCACCATGCACTTTCCATAATGGTAGGACCTAGTGGCCCAGGACTGGACCTGATCTCGAATGAGCGTACACTTCCTAAGGAATTTACCAACTCTGCGGAGCCATCGGGCGGCAGGTGGGACCCTCTGAATTATTACTGGCCTAACTGACCTTTACTGTGATAATTACAAAGATGCTGACAAAAGACACTGGTATGGACATATGACCTCAACAATCATACAAGTTTGTTTTTAGTATAGTGCATTGACTTATATTCATTTTCAGTTATAACTACAGCCTAAGCCTGACCCTTACTCACAATCTAACCACCCACATAATTAACTGTAACCCTAACCATCCCCTCAATTTATACCTTGGTTCTTAACCTAATCTAATTTGTCAATAGCATTCTACCATATTAGAACTGGTTTTTGGTCCCTCAAAGGACTGCCAGTCCTGACAAGCTAGGTGCTTGTACCCAAAAAGATCCTAAAAAGGTAACAAAAACCAGGTACACACACATGCACTACATAAAAACAAATAACTTTTACTGTTTACCTAATTACAATAATGACTGAGCAGTTATTGCACATCAGAGAAAAGATAGCTAGTTAAACTAATTACCAACTTATTAAATGACTTACACTGCAGCTACTTAGCCCAGCTGTGTGTTGTTGCCTATAAAGTTACATTGGCGTTTAAAAAAAAACCGCATACATTTATGATTAACACTGTATACATCCATTACATACATTTGCATGACTTCTTTGAATACCAAACTCATCGCTATTTACATGTTTGCAACATTTTGGTCTACACTTCAGACAGAGGGAATGGAGTTTGTTGGTGTGTGTGAGAAGGGTTGAAAGTTTGTTCCGACAGGAAATATTCATTTTAATCTGAAATTGTCCAGGAGCCAAAGTCAACAGATCTGCAATGTGGCTCACCCTGTCAGAAACAAACAACTCCACGAGCAGCTGCTTGGAGCTCAGATCATTTCCAACTGCCTCTGCTTCACCCTTCTCTGTCTCACCCTCAGGAATGAACACACTATGAAGAGTTGTTGGGACCCAATGGTAAGGCGGGACCCAGGGCCATAATTGTTTTAATGAAAGATGATAAAATGACTGCAGAAATTCTTAATGACATGACAGGAGAAATACTGACTAAATGCAAAAGTAAACATAAGAGGACCATAAATTATGAGTTACTCAAATAAAAAGGATGGAAACATAAAGGCCTAGCATTCTTTGAATGCATATCACCCCTCACCTTTCATACTCATGTTTTTGAGTGAGCCCTTCTTATGGTGAGAAATGGCAGCATTGTAACTGGTTTTAGTCAAACCTTTAAAAGTAGAGCAAACTTATGCAATAATGCAAACAGTCTTTCTCAGACTATGTTAATATTCTGAGTTATTACCACATCAAATTTGAGCTCAGTGTCTGCAAAACCGTATGAGTTGTAACTATTTCTGTGTTTGCTAGTGTCAAAAGTCATTGAAGCCAGTGAAAGCCATCTGAAATTAGGATGTCTCCAAAAGTTGATCACTTGTATTCAACTTTCAAATGTTTCATTAAAATGCATGCCAAAAATAAAAAAATAAAATAAATCATGAGATTCATGAGAACACAGCACACATATGAACTCACACACACGCAAAAAGCATGAAAATCCACAGTTGCCTTTTGGTTGTGAGCAATAATGACCATAAAATAATTTCAAAATATTATAAGGCAACTAAAAACAAAATCACCACAAGATGAAATAACTTGAATGAAACCACCTCAAAGCTACACTAAATGCTCTTAAGAGTAACAAAACTATTAATTGCACACAAAGAGATGACAAACTGACATGAACCACTGCTAAATTTTTTAAAACTCTACTGCAAAAATAAAAAACTACAAACCAACATCACCACCAGACAAAATTTTTGAAATGATCATATACATTTGCCACAACAAAAAATAGTCATAAAACAACAACAAAAACATACAATAAACTGATGTGAGATGACAAAATAAAACAAAGGGAAATGTAAAATAAGTTAATATACACCAGTTATAGGGACTCTAATTTAAAACAATTGCCAACAGTTTAAAAATGCATTTACAAACTACAAATTTTAAATGAAATTAAGTAAAATTAACACATTTACTGTAAAACAAATACCCATAATTACCTCAGACTTACAGTTTTTGATTAGTTTGACCTGTTTGAAGAAACTGGGAACCTCTCAGTCTTTGTCATCACCATCTCAGCAGAGCAGAAGACACCTCTTGCAATTTGTTAACCTACTCTCATTGTATTGACAAGAGTTTTCCACCCTTTTGCAAAATAGTTAATGCAGATGTCATTCAAGAAGTCCAAACTTCCTTTTAGCTGTCAGTAAGAAACACCAAAAGTACCTGTTTGACACTTCTTCACAGAAATTTTCAATTTGCAATCAGTCTGCAGGCCTGTGTTGTTCTCTTATACTCAAGTAATGTTATGTTGTTGTTTTTTTCCTCATCTGTCCTTGTGTGGTTTTTAGTTTTTCTATAAGGGTTGCGCCTCCTCACGATGTCTTCATGAAGATGATCCTTGCTTTGTGCAGGGTTTGTGCAGGGTCAGTGGGAGCATGACCCAGAATACCTGTTCTCCTAGGTTTGTTTTGTTCCGTCTTCTTCTGAACGGGTGTTCTGAACTGTAATTTCATTGTGTTCTGAACAGTGACAATAAAGGTCTAATCTAAAGGCCTACTATAGATTTTTGTTCTTTACTGTAAAAGACAGTTTTTATTTACCTAATTTCTCACACAGTAAAGGATTTTATTTTTATTTCCATGTATTCTCTGTTGGAATACATTTTTTATTGATTGTTTTTGAGATGGTGATGATGAAGACTGAGAGGTTCCCAGTTTATTCAAACAGGTCATAACAATCAGTAAAAACTGTATTTCATTTGTCAGGCACAGTCTGAAAAAAAAAGAATGTAATCAATAAAATTTGTATCAAACCATATCTGCTTCTGAATACATTTGGGCATTTGCAAGACGGCAAATTTGACTACAAATGGCACTGGCATGTAAGCTACGTACAGTCATAGGCTACAACGACAAGCAATGGTACACTGATTCACACATGAGTGCTGTATTTTGTATTTTGTTGCCTATTGTGTACTGGTTGTTTGGAGGTGCTCATACATTGTGTCAAAGTTGAGTTGTTTGAAGACAAGTTTTGCTTTTGTTCCATATTTTAAATGTATTGACACAGTTACTGCTTTTTGCAAACAAAATGTATCATTTTGACCACTGTGTCAATGTTTAGGCCTCTGTGTTAACTTTTTTGAAAATGTGGTTTTTGAGTTGAAGGCTGCATCAAACCAATCAATAAAAACTGCAATGAAGGCAAAATTACCACAAACTAATGCAAAATGTAATGTAAAATAACTTCAGAGAGAAAAAACAAAATAAAACAAACAACTATAAAGAAACAAAGTACAATCATAAACATATTTAAAATGTTTAGTTGACTGTGAGCAAGAGGACCACAAGGACCCCCAAATAACAAACAACTGCAGTTTTCAGCCCAGATATTGATCTTTTTGCCTCGAGCTTTATTTGTGCATTTCAGCCATGTATAAAGCTTTTAGATAAGGACAACAAATATTATTAAAACAAGGTTCAAATCAAGTTTTACCAAATCTAACAGTCATGTCTAATCTTCCCAAGATTGCAATAATGATAAAAAATATTTAAAAAAATATTCAAGATTGCAACAGCTCCAAATGACATTTCAGCCCACTTTGTCAATCAATGCTTCTGTTTGAGATGCTCCCAACACCAGCTGTTTTAATAAAATAGGAAGGAATACCTGTGATGCCACACCAGGGAAACCCCACAAAGACATGACACAAACACAACCATCTGAGATCAAATCTCAGATTAAATTCATAACCAACCAGAACAAAATAAAGTGCCATTAGTAAAAGAAAATACACTGCCGGGCCAAAAAAAAGAAAAAAAAAGTCACCACCCAAAAAATAGGTCACACACTAATATTTTTTGGACCACCTTTAGCTTTGATTATGGCACACATTTGCTGTGGTATTGTTTTGATAAGCTTCTGTGGTGTTGCATTAATTTTTCACCAAGATCTTGCATTGACGATGATAGAGTCTGACCGCTGCGCAAAGCCTTCTCCAGCACATCCCAAAGATTCTCAATGGGTTTAAGGTTTGGACTATGTGGTGGCCAATATGTGTGAAAATTTTGTCTCATTATCCCTGAACAACTCTTTCACAATTTCAGCCCAATGAAACTTGGCATTGTCATCTTGAAATATGCCCATGCCAACAGGTAAGAAGTCCAATGATGCAATAACCTGGTCATATTGTGTATTCAGGTAGTCAGCTGACCTCATTCTTTGAACTCATACTATTGCTGAACCTAGACCTGACCAAGTGCAGCAACCCCAGATCATAGCTCTTACTTAAATCCAGGTGGTGCCTTTTATTTGGCCATGCAGTGTACATGCA